CTATCATTATTCAGCATGAAAACTATCAAAAACCATGTCCCAACTCTTTTTTTTTTCATCTTATAAATGATTATTAGTTTCAAATTTCAAAAAATAAAAGTAAAAATAAAAAATGATTATTAGTATCCACGTTGATACATTAAAATTTGGTTGGGCCAATTCAAAAAAAAAAAAATAGTAGGGCCGATGCTAACGTTCATGTACGATGAAAATATATTAATCATGACGTCCACAAAGAGAGAATGCAACTTGTAGTAGTATTGTACCTTAAACTTCTACTTTACCTTAACCATTGGAGGCAAATATTGTATTTAATATTTACAAAAAAAAAAGTATTTTGACTAATGGTTAATTAACAAAAAAAAGTATTTTGACTAATGGTGTTAAATATCATTTCAATCAGAGGGATCAACTCATCAACATGTGCTGCTTTTTAATCAGTGCTCGCTCTGTGAATGGTGAAATAAAAAAAGTAGAATTGAGAAGAAAAATAAATAAATTAGAGGTATGACTGTTTGGTGTCGTTAAAGGAAAAGAAAGTGGTTGAAAAAAAATTATTCCCAATTCTCCTTGTTTATTACAGTCAAAATAAAAACAGAGGAAAAATATTTAAACTGAAAAGTGATAAAACCAGAGTAAATTATACCTCTACTTTTTAGTAGTAGAAAATTATTTCTAGATTTTATTTTTCTCTTTCCTTTCTTTTCCACCTATTTTCTTCTACGTTTTTCTTCTATATTATCATCCGTCACACTCTAGAAGAGAGAGAAAAAGTTACGGTTAGAAGAAAAAAGTTTCCATCACAATTTTATAAGGAGAAGAATTCTTCTATTTCCTCTTTGTTTTTACCTTTTCAGAAGAAATTAATATACTTTATTTTCCACTTGATTGGTATAACTATAAACATAGAAAAAAAAACAATTATTTCTTTTCTTTTCTTCTATGAGTGTCGAACAATCACACCCAAGTAAAATATCTTCCTCCATTTCGGGACTTTTTAACTTTGTCAATTCACCTTCTTTAGTCACTTTCGAATATAGGTTTATTTTTCCGTTTTTTTTTTAGTGCAAATGGATGTCTCATTTTATGAATGGAAGAAGCATTCCACACAAAAATATACCATTTTTACGATTAAAAAAAATAGAATAAACATTCCACTTATCCAAAAAAAAAAATTCAAATTCAAATAAAATCATCTCTCTGCAATTTTGATGTGGAATGAATGGGATAAATTTATTCCATTTTTTTCTCTATTCCATGTCTCTACATTCCATTCATAAATATTCCACCAATTCCATTTACGTTTACCATTTGCAGACATCAATTTCATAAATATAAGGGGGAAAATATGTTTTTTACTTTACTCCTTTCGCTTTGCTAGTAGAACTCTGTATGCGCAATTCTAACGTCTGACCTGAAATCTTTTATATTTCTTAAAAGTTGAAAACAGAAGTTTATTGTGATCTTACAAACCCTAAAACTGAAAATCAAGTCCATGATCGTATGCCAAGTTCCAAATGGATCTAACATTTTTTATGTATAAACAGAAGTGTACGAGTTAGAGATATTGTGATCAAAGTCCGATCTAGCCCGACACAAATTATTGAGTCCAATACTGATTTAGCTATGTTCAGATTATCATTTGTTTCGTATATCGAATTGCCAAACAATAGACAAATGGTTTTTGAGTTCAATTTGGTCGTTTGACGCTGGTAGATTAAACCTTTTTTTTTGTCACAGATTAAACTTTATATCGGTGAAAATATAGTCATATTTTTCTTATAACGAAGTGCAATTGGTTCATGAGTTTTTGGTCCACCACAATATCTCTAACCAAATCATGTGGAATGCATTTGATGTCAAAGAAAAAAAATACTCACTAATGATCGAACGTGGACAAGATTTTTAACCATGTGATATTGAAATAATTGTGCAAAGTATAAACTAAACTATAATGCTTAACAAGCCACATTGTCCCCCTCCAAAAAAAAAAAAAAAACCATACATACATTATATTTTATCTGTGGGAGAGACTAATCTTGAAACCTCGTGTGTATCTAGTAGAAATTGACCACAAGTGTTAAATCAATAGATTACAACCACTTGGTACACATGATATACAGACAAAACAACACATTTTTGGTTTGTATCCAAGTGTTAACAATTCTAATGGTAAATACATGTATGAACATTTTTGTTTTGTTGAGTAAGGAGAAGAGGACATAGGAAAATTACAAAGAAGCTTAACAAAAGAAACTCTTTGCAACCACAAGAAAAGGGTATAAAAGGACAAAAGAGAGTAATTAAGGGGTCGACATGGGGAATTACAATAGAAGCTGAAAACCTTGCAACCACATGAAATAAACAAATGTCATTGTTACAAGATAATGAAATCACACTGTTGTCTCATATGTACTGTTGTTTATTTTTTTTAGATCTGTTCATCGATGAAGAACCACATAAAAAAAAAAAGCAAAGCCACATTTTTATATAAAAGACCCATCAATCGCCATCTATCTTCACATGCCCTATTGAGTCGAATCTCCTCTCATTTCTTCTTTTGTTTTGTTGGAATTAGATAAAATCAAGTGACCAACAAAAGTGTCTTAAACCCTTATCACGCTATAACCTCAACCATCTTCATCATCATCTCTCCTTATAAACCACTCTACTACTCTTTCTTCTCTCTCTCTCAATTTTCTAAGTGCTCAATAAGCAATGGTGCGTTAAATAAAAGTTTTTTTCTCTGTTTTTGTTTACTCTGTTTTCTCTGCCTTAATTGGTTTTGATTGTCTTCTAAAAGGTTCATGTATCATCCCATGGAGCAAAAGATGGCTCGGAAGAAGCCTTCGACTACAGAGGAAATCCACCGGATAAGTCCAAAACCGGTGGATGGTTAGGTGCTGGTTTAATCCTAGGTACAATTTTCTCTGTTTTCTAAACTCCTCTGTTTTTTGTTTTCTTTTAGCTAAAAGTCTCCTCTGTTTTATAGGTAGTGAGCTATCGGAGAGAATATGCGTGATGGGCATATCAATGAATCTAGTGACTTACCTTGTCGGAGATTTACACATCTCATCAGCGAAATCAGCGACCATAGTCACTAATTTTATGGGAACTCTCAACCTCTTAGGACTTCTTGGTGGTTTCTTGGCTGATGCTAAACTCGGTCGCTACAAGATGGTCGCAATCTCAGCCTCTGTCACAGCTCTGGTAAAACACTAAAACCATGTCTTTGTAGCTCGATTAGCTCGAGAAAACTTCTAACTCTGATTCTTTATTTATGTGAAAACAGGGAGTGTTGCTATTGACAGTGGCTACAACCATCTCGAGCATGAGACCACCACCATGTGATGATTTCAGGAGACTTCACCATCAGTGCGTAGAAGCAAACGGTCATCAATTAGCTCTTCTCTACGTAGCTCTCTACACCATAGCTCTAGGCGGAGGAGGAATCAAATCCAACGTCTCCGGTTTCGGGTCTGACCAATTCGATACGAGTGATCCTAAGGAAGAGAAACAGATGATTTTTTTCTTCAACAGATTCTATTTCTCAATCAGCGTTGGATCTCTCTTCGCAGTGATTGTTCTGGTTTACGTTCAGGACAACGTAGGGAGAGGCTGGGGTTACGGGATCTCGGCCGCGACTATGGTGGTCGCGGCCGTGGTTTTGCTTTGCGGAACGAAATGGTACCGTTTCAAGAAACCTAAAGGAAGTCCTTTTACTGTTATATGGAGGGTTGGTTTCTTGGCTTGGAAGAAAAGAAACCAGAGTTACCCTGCGCATCCGAGTCTTTTGAACGGTTTTGACAACACTACGGTTCCGCACACAGAGAGGCTAAAGTGTTTAGACAAAGCCGCGATCCTCGTAGACGAGAGCTCTCCTGGTTCGAAAGAGTTCAAAGAGAAAGATCCGTGGACCGTGTCGACGGTTACGCAAGTCGAAGAAGTTAAACTCGTTGTGAAATTGATGCCGATTTGGGCAACTAACATTCTCTTCTGGACCATTTACTCTCAAATGACGACTTTCACGGTCGAACAAGCGACGTTTATGGAACGAAGAATCGGATCTTTCACCGTTCCTTCAGGATCTTTCTCTGCTTTCCTCATCCTCACAATTCTACTCTTCACTTCTCTCAACGAGAGAGTCTTTGTGCCTTTAGCGCGTAAGCTCACAAACAAACCTCAAGGAATCACCAGCCTCCAGAGAATCGGAGTAGGTCTTGTGTTCTCAATGGCTGCAATGGCGGTAGCTGCGGTTATAGAGAACGCTAGACGCGAGGCAGCGGTTTCAAACGGTAGGAAAATAAGCGCGTTTTTGTTGGTTCCACAGTATTTCTTGGTTGGTGCAGGGGAAGCGTTTGCTTACGTTGGACAACTTGAGTTCTTCATAAGAGAAGCACCAGAGAGGATGAAATCGATGAGCACCGGATTGTTTCTAAGCACGATTTCGATGGGATTCTTCGTGAGTAGCTTGCTTGTTTCGCTTGTCGATAAGGTTACACACAAGAGCTGGCTTAGAAGCAACCTTAACAAAGCGAGATTAAACTACTTCTACTGGTTACTTGTTGTCTTGGGAGCATTGAATTTCTTGATTTTTCTTGTGTTCGCCATGAAGCATCAGTACAAATCTGATGTGATCAGAGTTGAAGTCGTCGACGATTCAGAGGATAAAGAGAAGAAGAAAGAGAGCTCTGAGTTTGAGCTTAAGGAGATTCCTTAAAACCATAAAAGCTTTTAATTCTTCCAATTTTCTTGATCATTTGCTTTGTTAAAGATTTTCATTTTGTTTTGTAATTGTCGTATATTGTGTGCATGAAATAGAAGAT